CCAGTTATAACACTAGTAAGTATCTCAGGCTGGAGTAGAACCCAGATCTCCAGACTTCCAAGTCCAGTGCTCTCAGTACTAGGATGCTTCTTACATATTAAGTACTTAATAAGTGTTTTATGAATTGAAATGTGATTTTCTAACCTTCCTTGGGGCCCACAAATGCCTCATTCTGGTCATGCAAGGCAGAGGGGGTGGAATGGGTGGGAGAAACATTAAGAAATTGAGTTGTAGGACAGAGGACCAAGAAACAGTAAGTCTTGTGCTTGAGCTAAATCCCCCAGGGCTGGGTCAGGTGCTGCTCTGAGGCAGATTCTTGGGTCTCTAGGAGAAGAATTTAATTGGAAGTTGGCCTGTCATCCTTTGGCCGCTATATGCCCAACACAGGATCTTTCCATCCAAAAGGGAGGGTCTTCCTGAGTTTCTCCCTTACTGGCCCCAGCTGAAGTGGCTCCTCTACAGGTGATCTGAAGATGACCACAGATGAAATGACCCTCCCACCCAGCAGAGACTCAGAGTCTTTGCCCAATTGTGGTATGATCATTGGCAGATCAGGCTGGAGGGTTGAGAGATGGTAGTCGGTGGGACTAACGACCATGGTCGCTAGCATCCTGAAGAGCTCTCCTACTCCTCTCCTGTACTGCCTACCACACATCCTCATCCTACAACAGGATCCTAGGCCTGGATCTCTCCTTCCATTCCTCCTGGTATCATTACAGCTGCCACCTATATAGCTTAAGGTTGATAAGCATCTGTCTCTGCCTCTTTCTACCAGAAACTTTGAAGGAAGCCCCAGCCACTAGCTCCAGACTTCTGACTTCTCAAGGAAATAAAGATCAGGGCAGGGCTCCAATAAGGAGGAGGCAAGATACAGCTGTCTGTGCAACATACGAAAGTTGTCCTGCTTGACTTGACTCTGGCCACATCGCACCTGGAGAAACCCTTCAGTTCTGGTGCCCTGGCTTGGGAAGGACATCGATTAAGGGGAGAGGGTTCAGAGAAGGTCAACCAGGATGGTGAAAGGCCTGAGGGCATGCCGGAGGAGGGCTGACTGAAGGAACTGGGCATGTTTAGGCCACAGAAGGCTGGAGGGTGCAGGTGGAGACATGACCACCATCTTTGAATGGCTATCTAGTGAATGAGGGGTTGGAGTAGTTCTTCCTATTTGGTTCCCAAAGGCAGGGCCAGGAGCAATGAGTGGAAATTGCAGAGGCAAATGTTGGCTAGATGCTAAGAAAAACTTCCTCCTGTGAGTTGTCCAAAAGTAGAATCAGTCAATCAATCAACAAGCATTTATTAAGGCCTATGTGCCAGGCACTGTGCTAGGCACAAAATTACAATTTCTTCTTGCAAGAAGCATCCACTTTAGTGGAGAGGCCAGTAAGTTGACATATGTACAGAATAAATGGAAAGAGAATACACACAGTTTCTTTTTTTGGTGGGGTGGCACTAGCAGTTGGTCTGAGAACTTTAAGCATGGGGGAAATGACTATTTCTTGGGTTCATGTGTACGAGGGGAGTCTGCTGGAGGGTGGGTTGTTCTAGATGCCGTTGATGTTTCTTCCAATTCTAGCATGCTGAGATAGTTACTTTATTTACTATTACTTCCCCCCCCAACCAAGGCATGCATTGCCAGTTCCAGAATTCTCTAGTCCTGATACTGATCATTACTCTGAACTAAGTTGCATGTATCAGAGTTTCTGCTGGGTACTCGGGGATGTCATTTTCAAACTTTTCCAGTTTCATCAGGCCTCCCTCTCCTGTTACCCATTCCACAGTGCCCCAAGGATGAGGAGGCATGCCAGAGGCTGAGTTCAGTTGGATGTGGGCCTCAAGGCAAAGCTTGATAACACCGGGAGAGACCGAGTCAGGAGCTAAAGAGAGAGCTCAGCAGACTGGCCCCGGGGTGGGAGGGGGGAGATCTAGTGTGGTCATAATAGGGATCCGTGAGAAGTCACACTTGGATTCAAGAATTCCACTTTCCAATGAGAGAAAGAGCATGGGGGAGACTAGACTGTTGTCTGTGAAAAAGATCTGGAGGTCTTGCTGAACTGCAAGCCCAGGGTGAGTTAACAGCCTGGTTGCGACACCAAGGAAAGGCTAATGTCATCTCCTGCTTTTTGCCTAGACCTGTGATTTCATCAATGGAAGGAACTCTTCAGTCGATGGGGGTACCTGGAGGTTAAGAGTCCCAGGGTCAGGTAGCCAGTAGGTGTTCAAGTCAGGACCTGAACGTGGGCCTCCCTGATTCTGCGGCTGACTCTCTATCCACCACACTTCCTCTCCATATGATCTTAGGCTGTAATCACATAGGGTCCAGAATGAAGGAAATGTGCCTATGCCAGCCTAGGCTGACCACATTCAGAAGTAGCGTGTGTACAGTTGAGGGCGCCATAATTTAGGAAGGAAATTGACATGTTGGAGCACAGCCTGAAGACAGTGCTCAGATGCTAAAGAGGGCTGGAGATGGTGCCATATGGGTTGAACCAACCAACAGGCTGAAGTTCTGGAGGTGTCTGGTTTGGGGAAGGGAAAACTAGGGAGGGGGCACATTTCAGCCACGCTTAATTATCGGAAGGTTTGCCACGTAGTCTCGCTCCATTTGTCCCCAGAGCCTGGAGGGCAGACTCAAGAGTAGTGGGTGGAAGATGTCCGCACGTGGAATGGCTTGTCCTACGGTCGACAGCTACAGCAACTTCCATGTCAATGACATCAAGAAGAAGCTGGTCAGGGCAGCAAGGTGGTGCCATAGTGTGTAGAGCACCGGCCCTGGAGTCTGGAGGATCTGAGTTCAAATCCGGCCGCAGCTTGCTTACTTACTAGCTGTGTAACCTTGGGCAAGTCACTTAGCTCCACTTGACTAGAAGAAGAAGAAGAAGATAATGATGATGATGATGATGGTGGTGGTGGTCATGGGGGTAGTAGTAGCTCCATTTTATTAGAATCAGACAAAGTGTGACATGGCTTATGGTCATGCCACTCTTGAGGGGCAGACAGAGGCTTCAAGGCCAGGGCTCTTGACTCCAAAATCTTTCCAGGCTTCCCTGTGGCATTGTTGGAGCAGAGTTTTGGTGACTGTCTGTTGGGGTTGTCGTGAAAAGCTTCAGGGACGGGTTGGGTTAGGTGGTGATCCCCAGCTGGGCGATTCTGAACTTTTTCACTACTGTCTCTCCAGCTCTTTTTCCTTATCCTCTGTCTTGCCAAATTCCTCAGTCTGAGGGGATTCCGTTTCTAATATTTATAAAGCACTTGAGAGTTCACAAAGTACTTTACAAACATTTCATTTGGTGCCCACAACGTCCCTGGGAAGTAGGTGCTATGATTGTCCCTGTTCTACAGATGAGGAAGCTGAGGCAAACAGGTAAAGTGACTTGTCCAGGGTCACACAGCTAGTAAGGGGCTAGGGGTGCAGTGCACAGAATGGTAGGCCTGAAGGCAGGGAGACTCATCTTCCTGAGTCCAAATTCAGCTTCAGACACAAGCTGTGACCCATGGCAAGTCACTTCACCCTGTTTGCCTCAGTTTCCTCATCTCTAAAATGGCAAATCACTCCGGTATCTCTGCCAAGAAAACCTCAGACGGATATAACTGAAACAAGTGAACAATAAAGCTTCCTGACTCCAGGCCCCCCTAGATGTCACCTTCTCCTGAAAGTGAGGGAGAAGTGAGCCTTTCCAGCCTCAGGTAAGAAGATGATGGCTCACCCTCCTCTCCCACTGTGAGGTGTAAACTTTCCAACTGTCTCTTCCACTCATCCCACCCCACCCTGCCACGCATAACCAGAATGAGAAAGAGGCCTGATGAAACTGGAGTGCTGAGATCTAAACTGAAAAGGCAGAGATGGGGCTGAGGAAACTCCAAGCAATGGGATCGACCTCATGGTCCCAAGGATAAGATCACTGCTGCCCTAGACCTCTTCCAAGGGTAGGGGGATGACCCAAAGCCCAGGCTGAGGGAAAAACCCAGAGGCAGCAGCATCACCAAGGACCCTGTCCTGCCTCCTCCTCGTCGGCTCTCCGGCCTCTTCCACCCAGGCCATGGGAGGTGGGCTCAGGGAGAGGGAGAATAATGGAAGCCTAAGCCCCTTCAGATAATGTCCACCGGGTAACGGCCAAGAAAAGGTGGTTCTTAAAAACGGATGGGAATATCTGCCAGAGAAAAGAGCCAGTGCCTGGTACCTGAGAACGGGGCCAGGAGGGAAGTCTGCAGGAGCTGGGAGCCTCCTCAGTCACGCCAGAGGGGTACATACCTCAGGAACATATTTTCCACATTTTGCTGACTGCTGTTGTCCAAGCACTTTCTATTTCCAAAACCTTCTATGTATATAAAATGTACAACAGGCGCTTGTAACAGTGCACTGGGTCTCTGGGGGGCGGGGGAGGACGTTGATGACAAGGCTCCCCCTCTTTCTAGCGCCCTGTCCCAGCTCAATGCTCTGTGAACATTAAAGGGAGCGGGAGGATGAAGGGCAGGGGGAAGGGAGAGGGAAGGAGAGACACACTCCTGAAGAAAATCTTCATCCATTTAAGGAATGAGAAACCATCCGTCCCCCGGCAGGTCTATATACAGTCATATGAGGCCCCCTTCTTCTCTGATCAGAAGAATGTCCCCACTCACCAGGCCCTCCGATTCTCAGAGACCAGGCAGATCCCTTGGCTTTCAGTAAGAAGCCAAACAGGCAGAGTCAGGATGGCACAAGAGGCTGAGCAACGGGCCTGGGGCCCAAGGACCTGGGTTCGAATTCTGGCTCTGCTCCTTTTACTACATGCAGGTTGCCTCGTGGTTAAGTCGTTTGGCTCAAGGAGACCATACTAGACCTCTGAGGTCTCCTCCACCTAGAAAATCCTACGATTTGTCTTGGAAGAAAGGAGCTGGGAGTAACTACATGGGATCCAAGAAATGACACTAGTGCGACCCTGGCCCCTCAGGCCCCCTGACAGAGACCCACGTGTGCTTCCTTTGTCACGACTGTCCCAAAAGGAAAGGACAAGGAGCCAGGGTTAAATAGTGGTACCTCCTATTTATTACAAGTATATACAGTCCTATCTTATATTCTGGAATCTATACATGATCACCCAAACGAGCATGGTTTTTCTTTGTGAGAAGGACAGACTCCGATGTTCCAGGAATTGCTCGGCCGGCGGCTGCTGTGCAGGGAGGAGGGATCGTGTGTCACCATCGGACCAGTCGAGAACACGATGCGGCAAAAGTGAGCGGTCAAAAACCCAGGAGGACAACAGGGGAGCCGTCAAGGGGAGAGGAGAGTGGCCGAGCAGCACAGCTCACTTTGGGAAGGCCCTCCGTGCCTGGTTCTCACTGGGGAACAGCCAGAGAGCCTGGGGCTCTGCTGACCACTCTGAGAAAAGGGAAGATGGAGTCGCCCGCTCCAGAGACAAGGGGCGGGCAGCCAGATGCTCGCTGTACCAATCATGAGGACACAGATGGGCCTGGGCTGGGGGAGGACAGGGAGTGATGGAGGCTGATTTCAACAGCAGTTCTTTCTCACCTGAGGCATTATGAGTCAGGTAATTAAGCTACCTGTTGTCACGACCAGTATTAAAGGCGAGATGCCCCGAGGGGAAAGACAACCACCAAGGACAGTGGGTAACTCCAGAGCCTTTCAGCCCAACTCCCGCGCCAAGCAGATCTCAAAGGCCAGACTGGTTTTAAGAACAAAATGTAGGTGACGGGGGTGTGTAGGTAGTAAAATGAAGGACAGAAATGAGACTGGATGGAAGGGCTCAGAAAAGCCAGCAGGATTCAGGAAGATGTGCAGAGGCCCCAGGCTGGACCCAGGGAAAGCTGATCACTCTGTCCTTGTGGCTGTCCGCAGCTCACACCTGGAAGGCTCCAGTGAGCTGAGGCAGGGCTAGTGGAGGGTGAGAGGACAGCCATCCTTACTGCCTGGCACACCGAGCGCATGGAGTGCCGGGCCCTCCTGTGGAGAGTTCCCCCAACCCCTGATGAAAGGTGCTCCAGGGAGAGAGAAGGGGCTGTGTCGTGGGCAGAGAGAGGGGTGGGCGGGAGGGAGGAAGAGGAAAGAAAATCAGATGGCCTAGTCTATCTCATTCTCATTGCTAGCTCCCTCGGGTCTCCGCAGCTTCTCCACCTGCTCGTTGATCTGCCCGTCACCGCCTCTCCGGTCCTCGGTCTGGACACCCAGGCAATCCTCCTCATCCACGTGGCTCACGTCCTCCTCCTCCTCCTCCTCCTCCTCTCTCTTCTCCTCCTCCCCCTGCACCTCCATCCGCACCTGGCCCTTCACATCAATCACCCCCTCCCCTTCTTCTTCTGGGCCCAGCAGGTGATAGTTGACCTTCGACCCCTCAGGGCTATGGTTCTCCTTCACCGGGGAAGAGGAGGCCGACTCGTTGCTGACGGGAGAGATGTCGCTGCTGCTGTTGTGATTGACTACGGTGGGGTTGGAAGGAGACGAGGACTTCACCGAGATCTGCCAGGATGGGATCTTGGGGGCCGAAGGCGATGGAGGGAACTGCCTCCTAGAGGGAGGGAAAGTAGAGAAGGGGGGAGGTCTGTTAAAAAGGGCTTCCGAAAGGCGGCTCCAATGGGGGAAGGAAAGCATGGCCCCCCTACACTGCCAGGGCTCCTCTGTCCATGAGGAAGGCCACTCCACCCCCTCCACATTACGATAAGTCCAGCAAAAGCTCACCCACAGCCAGGCCACGGGGGATGGGGGAAGGGCAGCACCAGCCTGGGCTCCCCTTTGTGAAAGGACACACACCCCCCCGACCAAAGCCACATCCAGAAGAGGCAGGGAGGAGCTGAGGCTCCTGTTTGGCCACAGCTCAGGAAGTAAACCCCACGTGACAGAGTTGATCTTTGATGGGGGTTAAGAAAATAAAAATAAAAACACCAACCGGCCTTTCTACCACTCCCTCCCTCTGCCCCCTCTGAACTGGCCTCTGAGAAGGTTCTTCCATCTCAACCCCCATCTCTGTGGAGTGCAAACAAGCTAATGCCTGCATAATTCACCAGTATCATAAAAGCTATCAAGAAATTCAATTTGTAGAGTTTTCTTGGCTCCAATGTTACCCAACTGCCTACTTTCTGCCTTTTTTTATTTTCCAAAAGCACTTCTTCCCTGGCTGCATAAAACCCATGAATTTCTCTCAGTGACAGGCGCTCCCCTCCCCCAGCCAGGAGCCCTTCCTCTCTCCCACTCTTGCTGCCAGCCTCTCCCCTGAGGCCAGGTTCACCATCTCCAGACACACAAGGAGGTGGCCACTTAGAAGGCTGGCATGGAAGCCGCTTCCCTGCCTAAAGCCACCCATCAGCTTTTCCAAAGACCACTGCCAGGGAAGGTCCACCACTCTCAACAGTTCCCACTAAAAATACAGGCCCTAGCAGAAAAGGAGGGAGCTACGGGAAACGTAGGGGAGAACTCCTTGTATTTCAGAGAGCTCTGGAAGGGAGTGCCCTCTGGAGATCAACACCCCACTAAGACACAGGCGACATTCTAGGTTGGGAGGAAGACGATTTCGGGTCCCTGTTCCTGCAGGCCACCTCCCCAGCCCGGTCTGCAATCAGCTCCAAGCTCATTCCCCCATACCGGTTTAGGAGAAGTCCTTTTAAGGAATTAATCTCAGACTTGAGTTCATTGATATTCTGTGACTCCAGGATCCAGTTAGTGGATGTGGTGGCCTGCAAGACAGAAGGCAGAGGAGGGTCAGATGTAGGCTCCCAGGGGAGGAGGGGCAGTCCTGCAGCCTCTATCAAACAATGAGCATTGACTGAGCGTCTGCCCACTGCCTGGGATGTAGGGTAAAATGGGGGTGAGAGGTCACTAGAGCTTGGTAGGATCAGAGAGCACTCAGTCTGGGAGCTGCCGAACTCAGGACTCTCTGCAGGGACCAGGAATTAGGGATATTCATATTTATGAAGAAGGCAGCTCCGCTGGCAGAGTGGACAGAGCACTAGTCCTGGAGTCAGCAAAGACTCATCTTCCTGAGTTCAAATCCAGTCTCTGACCCTTACTAGCTGTGTGACCCTGGGCAAGTCACTTCACCCTGTTTGCCTCACCCTGTAAAACAAGAGGAAAATGGCAAATCACTGCAGTTATCTTTGCCAAGAAAACCCTAAACAGGGTCACAAAGAGGCAGACATGACTGGAAAATGACAAGGGAGGGGGAGGAAGGACACCCTTTCAATGCTCACTCTGCACAAAGCACCCCAACAAGCACTGGGGAACAGAACAGAAAAGCCAGACAGTCCGTGCTCTCAAGGCCCACACACCAGTAGGGGAGGCTTAGGCCACAAGCCCCATGGGCCTTAGGTTGCCGTGGCAAGGCAAACGTTAATGCATCCTCTTTAGTGGCATCTGAGCTGGTGGAATCCCATCTGTCCCTGCCGTGGAGCCATTTGACTGGGCCAAGGACTCTGATGCCAAGAGTTCTCTTTTCTGTTCAGGGCCACAGAGGCCAGAGTGGCCCTGGGGAAGCAATGGGCGCCATGTTGGCTGGCTCGCCTCTTGCCTTAGGATGCTCTGGTGCTGGGTACAGAGGCGCGACGTGTCAGTGAAAGAAGCGCACGGGATCCTGAGTTTTGCTCATGAAGACCCAACGGCTTCCAGGAAGAAGGAAGGTGGTGGCATCACTCTCTGGAGTCTGGGGCTCAGTTGTGAGCGTCATGGCTTTAAAAAATGCCACTGATGAGCTGGAGGGGCTCCAGAGGAAGGTAATCAGGGGCTGGCGAAGGACCTTGAGTCCGTGTCACTTGAGGATAAACTAAAGGGATTGGGAATCACTGGCCTAAAGAAATGAAGCCTCAAGGTGGGCAAGAAGACTCCCTTCACATATGAAGGGTCTTCACGGGGAGGAGCTCAACAAGCAGGAACCAGGAGCCCCGGGGGGACGCTGCAGGGAGGCCAACTGAGGGCCGCTGTCAGGAAAGCCTTCACAACAATCAAAGCGACCTAAGAGTGGAGCTGGCTGTGTAGACAGACAGTGGGATGCCTTCTCTCTGGCAGCCTTTAAGCAGGGGCTGGACAATGACTTCTGGGGATTCCACACCTGGATGGGCTGAGCTAGATGGCCTTCCAGCTCTCAATCCCTCTGCCCACCCAAGCACCCTCCATCCCAGAGCTCTGACTACAAAGAGAGCAATTCCATCTTAGAGTACTGGTTTACCTGTCCTCCATGACAAACCTTCATCGACCCATGCTCCAGCTGCTAGGCAGCCACACAGAACAGGATCATCTTTCCTTACGAGATCACAATTAATTTTGGGAAGGCTAGATTTGCCTTCTAATTCACCTGCCCATGATCCTACAAAATCCTTTATGAATGGCAGCCTAGGGTGACGGAAAGGACCGTGGCCTCAGGAGTCATGTTCCATTCTGCATCATCTGATTGCTACCAAGGAGGATCTGGCTGCTGAGGCAGAAAGGGGGGGACCCTCCAGGGAACAGAAGATTCCATTTTTGAATGTGTGATGTGAGGAAATGAGAAGGGAGAGGAGGGGAAGGGAAAAGAAAAGGAGGAGGAGAGAAAGAAGGACACGCAGGCATCGCTGATCAATGGAACTCAGACTCTGTGAAGGTAGGGATCAGAGGGAGAGCACAAGGGCCCTACGCGGGAAGTCAGTCCAGGCAGGAGAGCAAATTCCAGACAAGGAACGTCTGAAGACATCAAGTCACTAGGCTAAGGAGGAAAGGGGGCGCTTCCCAAAGAGACCGTCGTGGACGCACAGAGGGCATGGCATCAGCCAACCTGGGTTTACAAAGACATGCCCAGAAAATGGAAGGGCAGGTGCGCCACCAAAAACTAGCCTTGCAAGAACGTCAGCACGTGCTTGTGGGAGGCCAAGGGAGGACAAGGAGGGATTCAACGTCAGGAATGCTAAAGCTTAAAGTGAATCTGTCAAGAGTGGAATACACCGGGGAAAAGAAGAGAAAGAGCTCCCTGGGATGGATGGGATGGTCAGTGAAAAGAGAAGAGATCTGCTCCTTCGCTGTTTGGCATGTGAAGACTTCACAACCTGGCTCCTTCTCAGGCTTTAGTCCACTCCACAAGCGCTGAAATCCTGCTGGACTTACCACCGTGCGGTCCCTCATGCCTGATGCTTCGGGTTGTGGCTGTGGCTGTGCCCCCCACGCCTGGAGGGTCCTCCCTCTTCTTTGACCTCGCAGAATCCCTGTCTTCCTTGAAGACGTGGGTCACACACTGCTTCTGCAGAAGGCCATTTCCCACTAAGGCTTCCAATTACTCACTAGGTATCTTGTATGAACCTGTTTCGTTATAAGTTGGGCCCCCCATTAGAATGCAAACTCCCTGAGGGCAAGGCCTGGTTTTCTATTTCTCTGAATCCCCAGCCCCTCACACACAGCCTGGCACCTAACAAATGCCTGATGACTGACAGATTGATATTTTGTTTATGTTTTCTCTGTCAAAGAAAATTATCTTTGTACTGCAAAAGAGAGAGCAGAAATGGCTAACTAGGAGTTGACATCTGAGATAATGAGGGAAACAGTAAGACAGCACTGAGCTACCCTTGATGATTTGATGAGCTCAAATCACTAGACCCAAATGAATCAGAACCCAGAGAAAAAAAAGAACTGGCAGATGTGATGTCTTTTGTCAACAATCTTTGAAAGAGATCATAGATCAGGAGAAGTACCACATGCCTGGAGAAGAGCAAATGTCCTGTTTTTGTTTTTTTGTTTTTTTTTAAACAGGAAGAGAATTGAGTGTGAAAACTATAGGCAGGTAAGTTTGACTTTGACTGGTGGCAAAATTTGATAGCTTATAAATTGAAACAGCAAAGGGCCAGCATGGCTTTGTGAAAAACAGGTCACCGCTGCCCAGATATATTCATGCCCTGCTCCTGGCCCCTGCCCTCCACTTCTAGGCCGGGACACCAGCATCTACCACCATAGTCCCCAAGCTTCTCACTGGGGAGTCTTCAGCCTTTCTAGCCCAAAGCAGATTCCGCTCCCCGCCCCCCAGCTTCATGCTAAGCTCCTGGGGTCTGGCTACACAGCTCCTGCCCCGAGTCTCTGGGTTTAGGACTGGGAAGACGCCACCTGACCCTGACTGACTCATCCTTCAGGACACTCAATCAGTTGCTCTATTAATTCATTCATCATCCCCGTAACTTCTCTGATCACCTAACTCCTCTCCCACCCCAGCCCACCACTCCGTGTATTGTCGGCCCCCAACAGAAACTAGTTCCTTGAGGACAAGGGATCTTTTGTACATGTATCCCCAAAGCTCAGCACCATGTCTGGCACACAGTAAGAGTTTAATAAATGCTTTTTCATTCATTCATTCATCCATTTCTTCGTTTATTCATTCATCAGAGGAATGCTCTAAATATCATTTCCCTGTATTTTCACAAAGCATTTGATAAATACTCTCATGCTATTCTTGTGGAAAAAGAAAGATGTGAGCTAAATGACAGTACAATTAAGTGGACTCAGAACTAATTAAACAGCTGGACCCAAAGTGTAGCAATGGAAAGACGTAAAGTGAGGAGGTCTCCAGTAAAGTGCCCCAGGGATCATGCTTGGCTCCGTACTATTTAACGTTCTTATGAATGACTTGGATAAAGGTATATGTCCCATACTTATCAAATTTGCAGATGATGCCAAGCTAGGAGAGAAAGCTCAAAAATCGGATGACTGAGTCAGGATCCAAAAGATCCCAAAAGGCTAGAACACCAGCCTCAAAAAATCAGTATTCGAAGTACAAGTTGAGACAGGGCTCAGCCACAGTCCTTATGAACGAGATGCAGGACTGTGACAGCCTGCGAGCTCAATGGAAGGCAACTGTATAATATATCAGCTCCCCCTCTCCCGTCAAAAAAAGGAGCATTACTTTAAAAGAGGGAGGGAGGGAGGGAAGCCCCGTTTCTAGGAGTCACAGGGTGATAGTACTCCGCCTGACCAGTCTAGAGCTGAAATCCTGGGTTCGTTTCCAGGAACCCGATTTTATTTTAAATTTCACTGTGGCCTTTTGTCGGCACATTGCAGTCCTTTTCACTCAATCTCCTCCCACTCCTCCTCATACCCTTTTCTGAACCCTCTTTTGTAACAATGAAAAAATACTTAACGAAAACCAGCAGAAATAGAGACCACAGGTCACAGCACACTCCACATTCACAGTCCCCCTCACCCCCACCCGCAGGAAGGTGGCACCAGGCAGCTCTCCAGGATGGACGGCAATCATTCCAGTTAGCTGCAGAGCCGCCACCCTGCAGTGGTCAACGTGTTCACTACCATTCTGGCTTTGTGGACTTCTCTCCACATTTGTTCATACTGGAGGTCCCACGTTTTTCTAAAACCCTTATATTTCTCATTTCTTATGGCACAAAACAGTTCCATTTGTGGGCCACAATCTGTTCATCCATTCACCAAATGATTAACTCCCACTTGGTTTTTAGCAGTTTGCTACCACCTAAAGGGCTACTCCATCTGTCTTGTAGCTGAACCCTTCTAAATCCATCTCCCCTGTTAGAATGTGAACTCCTTCAGAGGAAGGATTCCCTCATTTTTACATACACATACCCTACTGCTTTGCACGTAGTAAGTACTTAGCAAATGCCTGTTTACTCAGTCATTCACACTATGAATATTTTGGTGCAGATGGACCCTTTCAGTTGTTGACCTCTTTGAGATATAAGCCCAATAGTGGGGTTGCTTGGTC